GCAGGAATGGGTCTTCCTGGAAGAGATTTTAAATACATAAACAAATGATTTATAAACATAAATATCACAATCCAGTTAAAAACATGCTAATTAAAAAGTAATTAATTTGTTTTGATTTAAGTACAAAACCTTATCATTAGCTCTGGGCATCGTGGCAATTATTTAAAATAGCAATACATAATCTAATAACTTATGAGCACGACACATGATAAAACTGATACAATTTTTCAGACAGTAATTTAAATATCCACTAAATATTTAACACCTACATCTTAAATACATCTGGCCTAAATCTGAGTTGCTTTAGCAAATACTCTTTGCAGTATTTTTAACACTCTGTAGGGGAGTAGTTGATAGCACATTTGAAAAATAAACAACTTATTCATACACAGTTATTTTTTTATTTGCTATGCTTTTCTGGGCAGGGAAGAGGAGGCACATTTTTCTGCATATTTCTACAAGTGTAATATTGCAAACTGTATCGCAACTATGCAAGAAAATTTCAGGTTGGACAAATATAATTCCTGTTCAATTAGAGTATCAGCTTTGTAAACTACTGAAGTGTAAGTGAGAGAATCAAATTCATTTAACAGGAAATTGACAGTGTTTTAAAAAATCATTGGAACCAATGGAGAGTAATAGAATAAGAACATTCTTTATCTTTCTGTAGAAATGCACAACAGCAACACTGCTTAATGTTACTGACTGAAACTGTCAATTATTGTCTCTGTTCCCCTGTGCAGAGAATTTATCAGTCACCTCCGACTCTACAGAGCTTTTTATGGTGGCCTGGCTGATCAGCTGTGCAGTAATGAGTTGGCAGCTGCTGATGGACTCCCCTGTTGGAATGGAGAAGACATTGAAAGAAGGTACCTCTCTGACTCACTTTTGTCTATTATTTTGTATTTCACGTTTCTCTACACTAGCTTCCACCTCAAGTCAAGTGCGTTGTTGTCCTTGTTATGTGTCAAGGTTAGTTCAAAAAACAAATCAGCAAAGGTTTCCTGATGAACAGTAAAAAAAAAATCTCCCCACATCTGTATTTTGAGGGAAAAGAGAATTCTATTGTTCTTCAGACATTTGCCCTTCGAATTTGTGACATCTAAACCTATACTGGAAAAGAAACTGGACTGGCATTTACAAAATGCAGTTGGAGAAAGAGAATATGCATTTTCATTTGAGCCTTATAAAATGCTCCTTTTTATACAGTGTGTGATAACAGACTCAAGCTACTCGTTTAAAACCTTCTCTGACTGAAGAATTGAGTAATCTCTTAATATGTATCGTTTCTCAGGAGAGAGCTAAAAGTGAAGACACAAAGATAAAACATTTTAAAGGTGAAATGCATGTACAGTTTTATGTATGTAGTGGCTTGGGAGACATCATTCAGCAGCAATGGCAAAGAAGTGATAATAATAAACAGCTTTGCTCCTGGATGTGTATCTCTGGAATCAATATTACAAAACACTAGTGACTGTGGATGTCAGAAGGATTTTCAGAGAGCTGGTATCTGTATTTTTACTTTATTAGTCTTATCACCAAATTGATCCTTTCTCTGAGCAGGAAGTCCTTGCAGTAACAGAGACCTAAATATTAAAAGGTTCATTGCCATTATTTTTAAAATAAAAAATGTGCTGTTAATACAGCATGTATTAGTAGATAGTATCAAAGGTTGTATCAAGGAATCTGGCTAAAGGGTGTGAGGTAAGTTAGTATTGCGGGAGATAGCTGGTACCAAGTAGAAGGAACAGTGACAGTCTGCACTTTCAGGTATCTTTATAAAGGTAAGGTAGGTGCTGTAATTTATTGATTATAATACCTAAGGAAACTTAATGAATACCTGTTCAGCAAACAGCTACAGACCTACTTTGCTTTATTGTCTTGGGTGGTCCAATGGTTTGCTAGAACCAAGATCCAAGGTTGACTCTCCTGCCAGTCTCATTGCGAATCTTTGTCCTAAGATTTCAGTGATCTCCTTAAGATGACATGTCCTTTCTTTAGACATTTATATTTGAAATTTAATCTCAGCTTTACCTCCTGATGTGTTTTTGGCTGCCCTTCCCAAAATGACTTACACTACTCTTTGGTAACAATTTCAATTTAGCTTCTTGTAATTCCATATTTCTTACCGACAAGGGTTTTGTATTATTATTTTTGCCTGCATATATCTTTTCAAACCTATATTATTATATTATATGGTACTGTCATGGTTTAAATCAGGATTAGGAATGAAAAGAATTACAATAATGCTCTCGATCCCTTCCCTCTTGCACCCAGGTACGGAAAGGAGAGAATAAGGAAAGAGGCTTCTGGATTGAAAACTAAACTAGACAGCTTTAATTGAATACTAGTGATGAAATATTTTCAAATACATATAAATATGTATAGAAATGTACAAAATCCCTATTGCCTCCCCCTACTCCCAGCATCTCCCACAGCATTGGAGTTGGAGTTGCGGAGAGTCCTGAGAAGGTCCCAAACTGCTTGTACCAAAACTGCAACCCGAATCCCCAAATTTCTGTATCCATTTCAGACAAGATGGGTAGCAGGACTGGCAAGAGCCAGACTACTATCACAAGTTCCATAACACTGCAGAATGAGGGAGAGGACATCTCAGAGCAGTCTTCAGCCCTTCCAACTATTTTATCTAATTGTGTGACTCCAGTAGATTAAATGGACTTCATTAGATTAAATGAAAAAAGAGGAATTGCAATTAATAAATTATGCATTACCAAAGCATATGAGAAGAATTGCAGACAACAGTTCAGAATTTCTGTGGCATCTTAGCATTAGAACTAAAATAATGGTAGTTGTGCAAATAGACAGATTGTTGTCATTCCTGAATGTAAAGTGTTTTAACTGACATACATCAGTTTTGTTAGTCCAGAGTGCCTGGCTAGAATGTGAAGAGAGATTGATCAAAAATTGACAGGGAGAAGAATATGTAATATACATGTTGAGAACTGTGATTCCACTGAAATAAAAATACCTGTGAGAGAAGGTAGTAAAATTATATTTGTTGAAGGGTTGAGGAGTAATAGAAATTATTAAAAGCAGCTAATCAAGTTTGGAAGGAAAAATTTCATATGAAACATATATTTAAAGTATCCAAATTAAGACTAATTAAACAGCATGATTGATATTAATTGCTGAATAAGTTCTTAGAAAGTTGTTATAATAAGTGTCTATCACTAAATAAATGCTTTGCTTTAGCACAGCTTTTAGGCTGCAGTAAGGAATTTTCTCTTTTTATTCTTAAGTATTCTGAAACAAGAGTACAATCCTGAATCACAGAACGGTATTGGTTGAAAGGGACCTTAAAGATCAACTAGATCCACCCCCCCTGCTATGGGAAGGAATACCTCCCACTAGACCAGGTTACTCAAAGCCCCATTCATCCTGGCCTTGCACACTTTCAGGGTGGGGGCAGCCACTACTTCCCTGGGCAACCTCTTCCAGTAAGTCACCACCCACACAGTAATTAATTTCTTCATGATATCTAGTCTAAATCTGCCCTCTCTTCTTAGCCAACAAAAGAAGATAAATGGTGATATAAGAAGATTTAATTAATTTCTGATAGTTTTCTTCTTTTTGAGCTAGTCAGCACTTTAAAATGAGGCAGAATGTAAACTGCAATCAAAAGCACCCCTTGCTACTTACCTGAAAGATTTGCCTGAGCAACAGCCCCTTATGAGAACAGCCCCATGTGAGAACAGCCAATTATGGTTGTTACTGCTTTGCAGGTGCTTAGAGAAAAATAATTATTAATATGTGCTTCCTCACAACCTGCAAATTTGGAAATGCTTGACCTAGATCTATTAATGTTTAGTCTTCCAAGGAATTAATAAAATCTTAGCACCAATACCCTTCCACAGAAAGCTAAACAGAAGTTTTCAGATACCAAAACACTGGGTCAGCTGAAGAGGTAAGATATGTGTAGGCTGAATGATTTACAAAGAAAATAAAAATCACATCAATTATTGAACCCAGATGCCTGAAAATGGAAATATTTTTGTTAGCAGTGCTTGGAAAGTCACGAGCATATGAGACCTAGGCTCTAATGAAAAATCAGGTCATCCAGCCTGTAAGACCCTGTTGTTCAAGGATCCTCCCTGAAATCAGAAGGGTCTTTTCATTTAAAAAAAAAAAAAAAAAAAAAAAAAAAGCATTTGAAAATCTGCTGATATCAAGATACATTCAATGACTATTAGCAACACCATTACTTTTCCCACTGCCCCCCTGCTTTGATAATGGTTATATCAGTTCTAAATACATGCTTAGATAAATCTCATGACATTTCAGATTGGAATTTATTTAATTATGTAAAAACAGCAAAATATGTATTGCATTTGATTACCTCAATATAAATTATCTATTATTTCTTTTATTTTCTTGAGCAAATACATAATTTGTTGTGTTCATCCTAGAAACATTTCAGTTGTTTGTCACAACAGGATTTAAAATAGAAATGTTCTAACACTGAGGTAATTAATTTTTATTAAGCTGTCAATAATTTACTAAATGTATTGAGTTTTAAATTGAAAAGCATGATTAGAGCCACATTAAATTAATAAGAGCACTTACATAGCCACAGTGGGCTGTTGAAAGACAGGCATGAGAAAGAACAGTGATCAAGGATATTCTAAGAATTTGAATTATGGCATCATCATACCTTTATTTTGGAGTGCTTTTTTCTTTCATTTTATACAGCAACAGAAAAACAGACTTACTCCAGAATTTAGTGTTAGTGATCCAGCCTGTGATAGTATTAGTGTTTCAGGACTACTTTACCATAGTTTATGACATGAAAAAATGGAGGCAAAAAATAATAATAATCTACCATCTCCTTTTTTCTATAATAAGGTTTTGTATTGCTACCAAGGGAAACTCACGGAAGAGGCTTTGATGCACTGTTCAAAGAAAAGCCTAACATAAAATAAATAGCTAGGAATGATAGTGGATTGTATTAGACAGATGATTTGTGTATTTGTGCCTCCCTGAAGTTCTTATGGAAGAAATATGATCTAACTGCATTCAACTGGGATATAGAGGATACTTTTCAAATATTAAGTTTATTGATGTTTTACAGTGAGGCCCCTTTCACACAGTGATGTTCCTGAAACATTTTATATTTCTAAAACCAAATTATTTCTCACCTCTAGCCACGGCAATTTAAAACAGATCTCAATACATTATTTAAACAATATTTAGGGTTGTGAAATATTTTCTCGGAGGTCCTCTCTCACTAGTGTTCACAGCAGTCCTCTGTAAACATCGCAGGCTTACTAGTCCAGACAGGAAACAGATTCTGAGTACTGATATTCAGCCCCCCAGCATTGATGGGTGTTCCTATCAACCTTCGTATTGCTGTGTTGCATCTGCTCAAAGCTTTTCTCTTGACAGCTATAGGTCAGATTTTCATTGAGCATCCTGCACTGACTGTGAAAATACACTACTGAAGCTTAGGTTATGATGGTTGGGTTTTTTTTGGTTTTACATTTTTACGTTTTTACTTAGATACACAAGCAGGGTGATTTCAGAGATCTGAAAATTATTTGGGAGTCTTACGTAAAAGCCACTGATTTTTCCCATGTGTATAATTGTGCAAGTTTGTGGTAAGTTTTTCTCTATATAAGGAATACATTGCTTTAGATAGTCTTGTCATGGTAAACCTCCTGTAGATTATTTTGTATATAGCTTGATTTTGTTAATATAATTTATGTAATATATACAATAAACTTTTAGTATTCATATAATATTATTATTAGATCTGAAGGATGAGTTCACTCATTATTTTTTCTAGAAATTATATATTAACTGTGTCAAAATCTTCTTGCTCATTTGTAGTCAAAAGAACCATTATGTGCTT